AGCCAAATTTCATAATTAGCGTTGCATGGTCTTCGGCGGCTACTGTACGTGTGACGTCCTTCCGCGCATTGCGCCTTTAAGTCCTAATCACAGCTTACATTATGCATTTATAGTTACCGCTGGGCCTTCTTCCAGTTTTCCACGATGGAGGCTGAAAAGACTGCGCGTCATTTAAAATTCGTCAGCAATCTGACTGGAGGTACAATTTTGGAATTAACTTGTCTGCTGACTATACCATGCGCCCTCGGATACTCACGTGTTCTCATCGACCATCTCTATCCAAGAGTGACTTCCAAGATACCGTAAGTCAGTTTTTTACAACTTTGCCTCTAAGATTCGATTTTCCATCGCAACTTTGAATTCCCCGTGTGAACTACGAGAATGCGTCAACTTTATATTCAACAGTTGTACTGTACTTCTCTCTAGGCCCCTCATACGGGACTTTCTGCTGATCATTGCAGTCTTCGTTCTGCCTGTTACATTACTCTCCGACTACATCTTTGAGGTGACGGTGATTGCTTGTACAACCGCAATCCTTCTTTTTTATCATTCACGAAATGGGAAGTTTCCCCCACCTCTTCCTGAGCCTCTCTACGCTTGGCGGCGAGTCCTTCGCGCCTATATCCTACTTTACACCTGCGTTTGCATCTATGCGGTGGACTTCCCACTGTTTCCGCGCCGTCTGGCCAAGACAGAGGCCCATGGTGTCTCGCTGATGGACGTAGGTGTGGGTCTGATCTCAGTTTCCTGCGGCATCGCTAATGTGCCCTTCGTGTACTTCTGCCGCACTTCTGCCCGCTCTTACGCCTCCATGTCATCCGTGCTCATGTCGACGGTCATTCTAGTTCTCATGGGGGCTTCACGCACTGTGGTAGTCAAACTACTGGGTTATCCGGACCACGTGACAGAGTACGGTGTGCACTGGAATTTCTTTATCACCATGGCTGCTCTGCGTGTAAGTATGGTCCGGCATTGAAAGTTAATATTTGCCTGTTTATATTCCACCTTACCAAATGAATTTGATACACCGAACTTCATTTGGGTCGAAATATGCGTTGATCTTTTGCATTTTATATGATCCTTTAGCACTATTTATTTGCATACGCAGTGTTCACTGATGCACATTGACAATGCGCCTGTCCAACGAATTATTATTTGATGACCTGCGAGCATATTACTTTCTTGTAGCTTTAAGTTATTCATATTTTAACCTCTGTCTTCACGTCGTATCTGCCGCTCCGACTGTCAATTTTGGTTTAAATGAACCACTAGGTATTCTATGATCAATTGTTCTTTTTTTATCTGAAGGCGCCCACTGAACCTTCAGTGTGCCTGCTGGCCTCCTGTATTCTTCCAGAAGCTAGAGTCTCACATCCAATGATTTAAAGACTACTAGTCACTAATTGCCTGTCTGTTTGATTGAGCTATGTCGAATCTGATGCCCTGTTTGGTAGTTTTAGCCTAAAATGTAAATAGGAAAATGTAGAACGCTAGCCATTTATTTTCCTGCTATTTTTCATTTTTCATATTATTATATGTCAAAC